GACGGGCTGTCTGTTCTTTGTTGTTTGCTCGTCTTTGGGCATGATAATTTTCGCCTCCTTCTCCAATTGGCAGGGTCAGTCACTCAGATACGGTACAGCAGGGCAGGTCTAGCTGAAGAGGAGTTGCTGGGATGGGTTGTTTGTGGCATCTACTACAGCCACCAGGGCGAGCCAGTAATCAGTGCAGGACAGGTTCCAGTAGGCCATGCCTGGGCTGCTTGATGGTGTGATGTTCAGCGCACGGTGCAGGTAGGCAGGATGGATGCGGGAGACTGTGATGTGTGGGGCTAAGATGGGTATGGGAGAGAGAAGAGAAGAACGGGAGCCAAAAGCATACAAATAAAAAAGAGTGCTAGGGGAGCTTGCCGTTGGAGTGAAGAAATGAGAGACTATGAAATGGAGAAAAACGAAAAGAAGGAAAAAAAAAGAAAACGAAAAAGTGAATAAATAAAAATTAGAAAGAAGAAAAGCAAAGCTCCCAGGGATCTCTCCAGTGCGGCTGTGAGGTCTGAGGAAGTTGCTTCCAGGCCATGAAGTACAGCCTGGCTAGAAGGGGTAGAAGTGTCACTCAGTGCCAGGTATTCAGGGGACAGGAAGAGAAAGAAAGTATAGAGACAAGAAACTGAGTAATGAAGACAAAAAGGGAAAAAGAGGGAAAAGAAAGCAAAACAAACAAAAAAGAACAAGAAAACTCCCAAAGAAAAAGAGAAAAAAAAAGCCCCCCCCCGCCCCCTCCAAAAAAAGCAAGAAAAAAGAAATGCTCTCCGGGATCCCTCTGCGCATCTACACAAACAGGGAGTAGGTCCCAAGCTGCACAGTACTGCCCAGCTAGAACGGGCTCCGAATTCGAGAAAAGAAAAATAAAACAAACAAAGAATTCAAAACAAACAAACAAAAAAGCCCCATGATCCCACCAGTGTGGCACCACGGGTCAGGAAGCAGTTTTACATTTGAACGGCATTTCACAGCCTTTCAAGAAGAAGCAAAGATGGCACACGGAGCCAGGTATTTGAGAGAAAGGAGGGGGAGGTGGCGAGAGGTAAGGAGGAAATTTAAAGAAGTGGAAAAAAGCAACAGCAGCAGCCAATAAATGGTACTTAGGGAGCTGGCCAGTGCGAGCGGGTGGATTCCCAGAGACACCGGAGTGAAGGTGGTGCTTCCCAGCCAAGAGACTTGCCGCAGGAAGTAGAGCAGGCCGAGTGGGGGGTGAAGAAGGGTGGGGGTGGAAAAACATATATCACTGGTTACCAGTTGTTCTGTCTCCTGCTGGAAGCTCTGTGAAGCTGCTTTCTCGTACCCCCGTTCACTGATCTCTGACAGGAGTCCAAGATGGCAGATCTGTGCTGTGGTAGCTGACAGGGGACCACTGCATGTATCTCTCCTTGTTCTCTGTTCTCTGTCAGTTTCTTATTCCATTTGGTGCTTGGCTGAATTCTTTATCTCTTAATTTGATGCTTAGGGTTTCAGGATTGCCGTTTTCTCTATGTGGCTTAGTTTTTCAGATCTTTGGTGTGGAGGGACAGTGTGGTGCTTCTGCCTATAGCGCCATGTTGCCCAGAAGTCCCCTGGGTACAATTATTAACTAACAGGTACACAAAGCTGATGAGCCCTGAAGGCACTCTGGAGCCTAAGGATTGTGTGAACTGAGAGGGGATCTGAATTATTTATCTGATTTTGGGCTTTTTAAGAGACAAGCCAAGTAGAGGCACTTTTATTACATAAATGGGAAGAAGTGGAGGAAACAACTGATGATTACTAGTTCATGTTCTATCAATATGGAAAGCAACTCATTTAAAATTTAGCACGTTAATACTCAAAACAACTTACGTAGCTCTCTTCCTGATCTTTGAGATCAGGAAATGGAGATTTTAGCATACAACATTTTTGACAGAACACATGAAGTGCCAATAGCAATATTTTATATCTACACAATGATTTTACAGTTTGCAACGAATTTTCATGTAATTATTATTCACCAACTTGTTACTGAGCCCCTACCCTGCGCCCAGCCCTGCAATCTAGGCACCAGTATATAAAAAAGACCCTAAAGTTCTTGGTCTAATGGGGAGAGAGGTGTGGTCACAGAATTACTATACAGTGTGACAGATGGTATGATGAGGAGTGCTCAAAATGCTCTGGTAGCACAAATATATCTTTACATTTTTTGGATGGGAAAATGGATATTCAGAAAGTGTAAGTTACTTGTGCCAAGTTTTACAGGTAGTAATGAGCAACCAGGATTCAAGCCTTCTGCTTGCACGGCCTGTACTCTTTCTAGTATACTCCAGCTGTCACAGATACTTACATCCTAAAGCCCTTATTAGCACAAGACCAATTTTAAGATCTGTACTAAATGACCAAACTGCTACTTTTATTTTTTCACTAAACTGTTGTTTTTCACTAAATTACTGCCTGTATGACCAGAAAAGGAGATGCCTGACTTATTAATTCTTTTCTTTCAAATTCTCTTCCTTCACACTAATGTTTTACAGTTGAGTGACAGAGAGGCATGGTTGGGAACAGAATCTTCCTTAGAGTGATAGTGTTTGAGTTCTTTTGAAACACCTGGTTCCGGAAAAAGAATAGAGTCTCAAGGCCAGTCAGTACTTTTAGCTTAAGGATCAAGTTATTCCTTCACTGCAGGGAAAACTACCAAGCCTATCTACTTTGCTTTCTATGTCAGATATTTAAGCAATCTCGCTTCTTTTCCTTGCAAGTGTCTTGGAAAATTTATTGAAACGAAGAACAAGGGATTCTGAATTTCTGGAACAGGTATTAAAGTCAGACAGGCAGGTCATCTTATTTAGTCCATGACTTCTACTGTCCTCTTGAAAAACAAGAAATGAAAATCACTTACTGAAATATATTTAAAGCAGAAGCATAATTCAAAGAAAGATCATTTAAACTTAATACAATTGACCCCATTTCGTACAAAACATTCTTGGGAAACTGGCCCACAATGGTTCAGGCTATGGGCTGGCTACGCTCCAGGCACATCCCCTTCCCTCCGTCAGGAAGTTCCACTTATAGACATTACAGGTGCTGGCATTTCTACTGCAGCAAACTAAAGCCAACAAAGCAACTGGACTGACACTTCCAAATCTGGTCATTTAGCTGGCTGATCGATGTAGTCAGACTCCCAGGGGAATGTTGCTCAGTGGTAGAGAGCAGGTCTCACAGGCCAGGGTGCAATGCCTGGCATCTTCTGAATATAGTGCTTCCAGGGATTGCTATTAACAGGTGCTCAGTGAATATCTGCTGAATGATTGATTGCCAGGTCTACTCCACGTACCACATTTTAAATATACATTTCTAAACAAATTCTCTGTAAAGCTCAGCTAAGGTATAAATTACATGAGTGCCTACAAACACAAGCACAGAGCAGTTAGAGAAAGGAATCCCTGGAAGGCAGAATTGAGCAATGTTTTGAAATTTATAAATAAATAATTGCTGTATGTGATCAAAACAAGCTATAGCACAAGCTTAGGAGGTCCAACTAATTAGAGAGAGATGATGGCATGGACAAGTGTCTTCAGTGGTTATTTACAAGTTAAACACTGCTTCTGAGACTCTCATTGCCAACTTATGATCACTATTTATATTACAAAGAAAACACTAGCCTTAAACATACCTTGCAATACTGCTAAGGACAATCATCAAGGAGAAAAATAACTAGAGGACAAATATGATTCTTTCTTAGTCTGTACTCTGATTCAACCAGTTGACAGAATATGAAACCTGGAATCAAGGACATCAGTGTTGCTGGAGGAAGAAGATTATTTAGATTAAACCTGGTTGAAGCTCCTAAGCAAACAGAACTTTCAGAAAAAAGCAGATTGGATGGTAAAATTCAACTTTTTACAATTTAGAATATATAAAACTCTTAAAAAAAAAAAAAAGGCCCTTAAACTTTACAACTTCTTCATGAGAAAAATATTTCTGCTAGCTGTGCACTATTAGGTAAGCACTATTAGAGCTACCGTAAGCCATTCATGAATATGTAATTTAGTTCAAAGAATCACAAAGATTTCCTAAAACTTTAAAATGAAATAACTCATTAACGGTATTTAAAGTTTTTTTCCTTGAAACAGATAATGTCACAAATACAACCTAGCTAAGGATAGGAGAGAAATCTATTAGTTCTTGCTCTAAACTTAAAAACTGATAAATACTCAGAAAACCTGCTCCTCCAGTACTACTGAACTTTAGATTACTAACCCAAGTTGATATCAGAGATCTGTGGGCACCTGGAGAAATGTCTGCAAGCTTACAAAGCCACTGAGAATAGTGATGCAGTTGTAGTACTGACTATAAACATGAATTTGGGCAGGGGTGGGGGGGTTAGAGGACCAGGTACAAGTCTCAGCTCTGTCATACTTAATCACTGAGTAAGTTAGTTAATCGTTCTAAACCTGTTCTCTTAAGAGCACAATGATAATAAAAATAATACCCATCTCACAGGATTGTTTCGGGGATAAAATGATTTATTTGTGACTTGGCACACAGTAAGCATTCCATAAATGTTGGCTATTTATTATCATTAACCATTCCTATGTTCCTATACTGTTTTTCTTGAGGAAATCATCTGATAGACATGCCCACATTCTTTCTCAAATGGCCCTGGGCAGTGGAAGTAAACAGCGCAGTGCTGTCATTGCCACTTTATACTTAGGGAGGTTCAGGCCACAGGTGGAGGTTAACCAAGGTTCTGGACTCCTGGACCATAGTTCCCCTTTCTGCACTCTAAGCACTGATCACAATGCCATGATTTCAGATGCGATTTGTCCTGGTGGTGCATAAAACAAATGTGGTGGTGTTTAAAAACGAGTAACTGTTACAGCATTCAAACTGGCAGCTAAGACAGTGTATAAAAATATGGAAACAATGTATAATTACTTCATCAGACTAGGCAAAATGCTTACTTAATTCAGTATGGTCCACTTTATCCTAGAACCTGGAAAAGATTCCAATATTACACTCTGAAAAGAGTAACCACTTACTTGTTCTAAATTTTTCCTTGAGGGCATCCAGATCCTCCTTGAGAGCAATCTGCATCCACACCAAGCCAACACATGCCACTACACAGGCCGCGAGGATGACAAAAGCACAAAGGGGATAACAGATCTTGCAGCATCGTAAATAGTCTCCCCTGATCGTAAGAACAAATCCAACTATGAGTACAAAAGTGATTATGAGTACAGCTTTATTAGAAATAGTACACATGTGTTGCCATGCAATTATCTTCTCTAACCTTACCAGGGGACATAGGCTAATGTACTTAAGTCTGAACTGCAGGTTGAAAATGACTAAATAATATGACCTATAAAGAGTTCATCTATTGGGTACAAAGGTTTCAAACTTCACATGAAACAAGGAGTTTCTGTGGGCCACAGGAAGCCCCTGTGGGCACTGCAGCTCATGGCCATCATCATCAATTCAGGAGGGATTTCTTTGGAGACAAGTTCAGGTTAGAAAAGTGTAAAAACCAGTGCTTCTCTGTACTGTAATTTACCTATATCTATCCATTTCACTTTCTCAGACATATATTCCTTTACTCCAGGGGACACTGTTTCAGTTTACTGAAACTTCATAAACTTTTGTGCAAGTTTTACTGCAAATGGAATGAAAGAAACAGGATCTGCTGGTTTAAGTGGACATCTGGTACACTCTAGCTTAATGGCTCAGAAAGAAGGAAACACAGGAAGATGCTAGATTTCCCACCAAACTTCAACCAGCACTCAAGGTCTGAACTAACCCAGCAGGGTGACTTTCAGGATTAATGCTTCATCAGACTTTCACACTCCAAACCCAGGATGGTCCTTAACTACCTAATTTGATAGAACTCTTTAGAAAGCAAACTCTTTGTTTAACAAAATAAAAGGACAGAGACATTCTAAACAAGAAAAATACCTCAAACAAAGGATTTTAGCACCCCAAGCTTCTGCCTAGTCCTTGCTTCCATGTCCTCAGCAGAATCCTTTTTCTTTTAGTGTGCTCCCTGAAAGGGTCCAAGGGCACTTTCAAGTTTCCCTTTAGCCCTTTCCTACCTTGATCCTCAATTCCCAATGTCCTTAAAGCTCACTACTACTTGATTTGTCCAGTGGCCACTCCATCTAAAAGTGTTTTTGGGAAAAAGTTGCCTCTTCTTTTTGTCCCCACCCTTCATCTACTCTCAAGGCTCTTACTTCTTACACTATGTTCCGCATCCTATTTCCCCATCACCAAGATTCAGACTCATTAAGAGTGCAAAAAATAAGTAATTTGCAGTCTGAAGGTCCCTGTCTCTCCTACATTCTTTTTTGGAGGTTCAATCCCCAAAGCTCCTCTGCCTCTATGTCCCTGTTCTTAGCATGTCTTCTCCTCCAACTTTGGTGTCCTCTTGGCACATCCCCCAAGTCCACACTTCCACCCTAGATTCTGAGCTTTTCCTTTCACACTTACGGACAGATCCCTAACCTATCCTTCATTCAGGATCTGTACTTTTCTTCTGCCTAACACCTTTTCTCCCTCTTTGCCTTTCAAGGTCTATATCCTTTTTTCTTCCCTTAAATTTGCCCCTTGGTAGTACAAGAATGTCTTTTTCCCATCCCACTCCTCACTTACTTGACAAAGCGAGAGCAATTTCCAACTACACCAAATTCCTCTTCTTCCTCAGAGCTGGACTCAGAGTCTGAGTCAGGTGGCTCAGTGCGAAGCAGGCGGTGGCCTGAGCCTTTCTTGGGCTTCTTTCTCCGGCTGTCCCCGGCCAGGCCAATCAACGCATTGAGTTCTTTGCGCTTTTTCATCTTCTTGTGTGGGGTGAGTGGAGCACCCACTCCTGAGCTCCCAGGTTCGTACCCGATGCCCAATTCTCTGGCTGCCTTGGAGCTGCCTTCCAGGGTGGGGAATTCTGGGCTGGAGCCCACCAGTCACTCCCACCCAGGGGTGGGACTGACCAGATCCGCCAGGGGCTAGAGATTGGAGCCCAGAGGTAACTGGAACTCTGACAGGTGGGGGAAGTCACATAGAGGTAGCTAGGGAGTGGTGATTCAAATGGATAAGGCCCTGGATCAGTTAGTTAAAAAGATGGAAAGAGAGCAACTCTTTATCTCCCAAAGAGGGGAAAAAGCTAAATCAAGAATGATTCTCAGCCCTGATAAGTAGGTAAAATTTTTAAGGGTTCTCCAGGAGCTGGTGAAGGGCACATAGATAGGTGTTTTGGATCTCCAGAGCGGATTTCCAATGGAGAGGGAAAAAATATTTGTTTCTGAATGGGAAGAGAGGGGAGAGCAGAGACAAACAGTTGGAGCGTGTAGTCCCTCTCTGACTGGACAAGCGGCAGCAGAAGAGGGCTCCTAGCCACTGCCACCCCGACACAGCCCCAAGCCGGGAAAACGCCCGGGCCAGGAAGCCCTGGTCTGGGATGTTCACCGTTCCCTGGTCCCGGTCCTGAGTTTGAAGGAAGCCCGCGACAGGAAGACCCAGAGCCCAGCTCCGGTTCTCGGCCTGAGAGGAGCCAGTCCCGCGCCTGAGGAGACCCAGTCCTGCTGCCTGGGCCTGGGGGGCGCAGTGCTGAGGGGTGACCCCAGCTCAGCCCACCTGAAGCACTCCCGCCCAGAGTTTGAAGTGTTCCAGCACAGGCTAGCCTCGGCAACTCACACGCACCGCCCACACTCCAGCCGCGACTCCGGCACCGGCCGTAGCTCTAGCAGCGGCTGCTCCCGACACGCAGGTGACGGCAGCGGCGGCCGCCTGCTCCAGACCCGGGCCATCGCTCCAGCCCCAGGTTACTTCCCCCTTGGCAGCAGCCGCTGGCGCCGCCTGCCAATAAGCCACGCTTCCATTGGTCTCCCCCTGGGGTGACGTCACTCGTGGGGGCCCGAGTAGCGGCGGGGAGGCGGGGCGTTAAAGGGGCCCTGGCTCTGCTGAGGTCTGGGTCCGCCTCGCCGGTTAGAGGAGGCCCACCCCCCGGGAGCGCCACCTGGGACCTTTGGATCACCAGAGCCTAGGCGGAGTTTTGTTCGCTGGGGAGCTGGGGCGGGGTAGGCAAAACATCCAGCTGCTTGGCCGGCTCCGCAAGTTTCTCAACTGCCTCACTTCCCAACTGGACTAACCCAGGCTAGAGGCTCCGCCCTTCTGGTTCGCTGTTTACTAAAAGTTTAGGCGTGTTTCAGATTAATGAAACACTGTAGATATTCATTCATTCCATAAATATTTATTGAGAGCTTACTAGGTGCCAGGAGCTATTTTAGCCCTGAGGATACAGCGATGAACGAAACAACCACTGTCCCTACCTTTCTGCATAGGGTTACCAGATTAAGCAAATAAAAATACAGAATACCCAGTACAGTTTGAGTTTCAGATAAACAACGAACAATTTCTTAGGATAAATATGGCTCATGCAACATTTGGGACATATACTAAAAAGTTATTTGTTGTTTATCAGAAATTTAAATTAAATGGGCATCCTGTATTTTCTTGGCTAACCCTATCCCTGTAGTTTACACTCTAGTGGGAGGAGAGTGACAACAAGCAAACATCTTAAATGTCAAAAAAACCAAACTCGTTGCCATCAATTCCAACTCATAGTGACCCTATAGGACAGAGTAGAACTGCCCCATAGGGTTTCCAAGGAGTGGCTGTTGGATTCTAACTGCCAACCATTTTGTTAGCAGCCGAGCTCTTAACCACTGTGCCACCGGGCGCCTATTAAATGTCAGGAGGTGATAAATGTTACAAGGAAAATTGAAACATGATAAGGGGATGGGGAGTGCCCTGTGGTAAGGGGACATTTGATCAAAAATCCAAAAGAAGTGAGGGAGAGAACTGTGTGATGACCTCGAGGAAGGGGAGACCAGGAAGACCTGGTGTGGCTGGACCTGAAAGAGCAAAGAGGAGAGTATTAGGAAATGAGGTCAGAAGAGTATCAGAGCCAGCTCTTGTAGGGCCTTATAAACTACTCTAAGGACTTTGAGAACCAGTTGCGGGGCCTTAAACTGAGAGGGGACATGCTCTGGCTTAGTTTTTAAAAAGATCACTCTATTATGTGAAAAACAGAATGGGGGGAGGGTGGCAAAGGAGATTAGTCTGGAGACTATTTCAACAGTCCAGTTAGACATGATGAGTGTCTAGAGTGGCAGTAGCAGAAATGGTGAGCAATCTGGATGTTTTTGAAGGCAGAGCTAACAATATTTGCTGATAAATTAGACAAAAGTATGAAAAACAGAGTCATGGATGATGCCTAAGTTTTGGGGTGTAGCAACTATAAGAATGGAATTGCCATTTACTGTGATGGGGATGAGCAGGTCTGAGGTGAGTACAGAGGTTAAGCGCTGTGCTGCTAACTGAAAGATTGGCAATTTGAACCCACCAGCCACTCATCAGGGGAGAAGATGTGGCAGTCTGCTTCCATAAAGATTACAGCCTTGGACACCCTATGAGGCAGTTCTATTCTGTCCTGTAGGGTTGTTATGAGACAGAATCAACTCGATGGCAATGGGCTTGTGGTCTGGTATGGATAGGGAGGAATTAAAAGTTCAGTTGTAAACTAGTTAAGCTTGAGAAGCCAATTCGATAATCAAGTGGAGATGTTGAGTAGGCTATTTGATATATATACTGGGAGTTCGGGTAGAGGTTGGGACTTAAAATGTAAATTTGGGAGCCATCAAATGTAGATGGTATTTAAAGCAAAGTGCTTTCAGCTACTTTGAAGAAAATCACTTAAAGTGATTTTTATACCCATACTCTTTTTTTTCTGTTCCTTTAAGTCTTGCTTTTATTATTTTTTTCCCATACAAAAATTTATATATACATTGTTATGTGACCCTAATTGCTCTCCCCATACTGTGACAACACACTCCTCCTTTCCACCACCCCTGATTTCCCATGTCCATTCACCAGCTCCTAACCCTCTCTGCCTTCCCATCTCACCTCAGGACAGAAGCTACCTGTTTAGTCTCTTGTATCTACTTGAGCTAAGAGGCACACTCCTCACGAGTATCACTTTAAGTCCCACAGTCCAGTCCAATCCATGTCTGAAGAGTTGGCCTCGGAAATTGTTTTAGTTCTGGGCTGATAGAGAATCCAGGGGCCATGCTTTCCGGGGTTCCTCCAGTCTCGGTCAGACCATCAAGTCTGGTCTTCTTACTAGAATTTGAGCTCTGTACCCCACCTTTCTCCTGCTCCATCAGGGACTCGCTGTTGTGTTCCCTGTCAGGGCGGTCATTGGTGGTAGCCAGGCACCATCTAGTTCTTCTGGTCTCAGGCTGATGAAGTCTCTGGTTTATGTGGCCCTTTCTGTCTCTTGGGCTACTTGTGTCTTTGTTGTTCTTCATTCTCCTTTACTCCAGGTGGTTGGGACCAATTGATGCATCATAGATGGCCGCTTGCAAGCTTTTAAGACCCCAGACTCCACTCACCAAAGTAGGATGCAGAACATTTTCTTAATAAGCTTTGTTATGCCAGTTGACCTAGATGTTCCCTGGAAGCATGGTCCCCAGGCCCCTACCCCTGCTACTCTGTCCCTCAAAGTGTTTGATTGTATTCAGGAAACTTCTTGGCTTTGGTTTAGCCCCGTTGTGCTGACTTCCCCTGTAGTGTGTGCTGTCCTTCCCTTCACCTAAAATAATTCTTATCTACTATCTAGTTAGTAAATAACTCTCCCCTTCCCTCCGCACCCTCGTAACCATCGAAGAATGTTTTCTTCTGTGTTTAAACCTTTCCTTGAGTTCTTATAATAGTGGTGTTATACAATATTTGTCCTTCTGTGACTGACTAAATTCACTCAGCATAATGCCCTCCAGATGCCTCCATGTTATAAGATGTTTCATGGCTTCATTGTTGTTCTTTATTGCTGTGTAGTATTCCATTATGTAGATATACCATAATTTGTCTATCCATTCATCCATTGATGGGAACCTAGGTTGTTTCCATCTTTTTGCTATTGTGAACAGTGCTGCAATGAACATGGGTGTGCGTATATCTATTCGTGTGACGGCTCTTATTTCTCTAGGATATATTCCAAGGAGCGGGATAGCTGGATCGTATGGTACTTCTATTTCTAGCTTTTGTACCCATATTCTTATTGGAGCAATTACATTGTCTTTGTCCTAGGAATTTCCACTTAAAGCCTAGGCCTGTATCTTATTTGTCTGGAAAATTTTTTTTCTTATTGTAGTAAAATATACATATAACAAAACATTTGCCAATTCAACAATTTTTACATGTATAATCAGGAACCCAGGGCAGTGGGACAGGGCCAAGGGTACAAGGACTTCTAGTTAGTCAGACAAGACGTCTTTTTGCCTTTATTCCCTGTGTCTAGCCCAGAGCAGGCACCTGGTATCAATGACCCAATAAATATGTGATGACTACGTAAGTGGGAAGGAGCCTTGGTGGTGCAATGGTTAAGTGCTTGGTTGCTCATGGGAAGGTGGGTGGTTCGAACCCACCCAGTGGCTCTGCAAGAGAAAAGACCTGGTGATCTGCTCCTGTAGAGATTACAGCCTAGGAAAACCTATAGGGCAGTTCTACTCTGTCCTATTGGGTTGTTATGAGTCAGAATCCACTTGACAGCACACAACAACAGATAAGTGGGCAGAGTGGTGTGGAGGTATGAGTGGAGTTTTGGAATCAAGAGGTCTGGGGTTAAATTATGCCTCTACTATCTACTAGCTGTCAACTTGGAAGCCATTTCACTTCTCTGAGCCTCAGTTTTTATCTCTATAAAGTGGGGTAAACACACCTATTTCACAGGACAGACAAATAAGTAGATGCTTGTGTAAGTGCTTTTGAAGCCCTAAGTTATGGTGCAGTTGTTCCCTGTTTGTTGTCTCCTTTTGTCTCTAGAGCTGCACAGTCTAATACAGTAGCCACTAGCCACGCGTGGCAATTTACATTTACATTTAACTTAATTAAATTAAATAAAAATTTAGATTTAGTTCCTCAGTGGCCAAATTTCAAGTGCTCTAGAAGCCTATGTGGTTAGTGGTTACCATATTGGCAGCACAGAATAGAACATTGCTACCATTACAGAAAGTCTTACTGGGTAGCTCTGTACTAGTGCTTCTGGGAAGGACTGGGGATGGACAGGAGAGAGAGGGGTGTCAGGTGGGAGACAAGAGAGAGCTAAAGAGAAGGGGGTGGGAGTCTCTGTGTTAAAGTTATATTTGATTAGAGACCTGAAGGAACTGAGGAAGTGAACTAAGAGACGGAGGACTTAGAACCTTTGGGTCAGATGTTCTGCCCTGTTCCCCGACTTCAGGAACCATTATGTAAACACATCTTGTGGTCACCAGAAGCCCCAGGCAAAAGAGGTAGCTGACCAGAGCAGCCACTCCCACTGCTGGAGAAAGCCCAGGTATGGGTTGGGTACATGGTCCTCTTGTGTGTAGATGCTACATCCTCACTGAGGGATCCAGGGGCTGAGGAACCCAGGGCAGTGGGGCAGGGTCAAGGATGCATCACTCAGCTGCAATGACTTCTGGTTAGCCAGATCCTGCCCTGTCCACAGCTAGAGACCTCTCCCAGGACTGGCCAGTGTGCTGCTCATGGGTGGGGAGGCTGGACAAATGGAGTCGAGAGCTAAGGGTTCTGTCTCTCAGTCCCTCAGTCTGCCTGTTTGTGTATCGGTATGTAGATACCATCCTTCCTATCTTGGGTAAACATCTCATAGGATGCTGAGTCATCCTTTGAAAGCTGCTAGGCAGATGTTCCTCTTTTTTTAGGAGCTCTTGGTTACCTCTCTGGCCTCCTCCCTCAGACTTGGAACCCTCAAGGCCAGGGATT